TTCGTGCTTAAGGTGCGTGGATTTTGTGCTTAAGGTGCGCGGACACCCTTCTCTGTGAGTCACGGGTAGTTCAGACCCTCAAGAAGAACAAAACTTTTGAACTGAGGGGTGGTTCAGACCCACAAGAAGAACAAAATTTTTGAACTAAGGGGTGGTTCAGACCCTCAAGAACAAAACTTTTGAACAAAACTTAACGTGCGCCATTTGAACACTTAAGGTGCGTGAGTTTTGTGCTTAAGGTGGGTCCTATTTCTTTTTTTGCGCACCCTTCTCTGTGAGTTACGGGTAGTTCAGACCCTCAAGAAGAACAAAACTTTTGAACTGAGGGGTGTTTCAGACCCACAAGAAGAACAAAACTTTTGAACTGAGGGTTGGTTCAAATCTTCAAGAACAAAACTTAACATGCGCCATTTTAACACTTAACGTGCGTTGTTATAACACTTAAGGTGAGCCATTTTTAGATCCTTTCTGCCAGACACGCATTTTTTTTTTAAAATTTTCATTGATTTGAGCCGTTGATTTAAATTTTAATGCTTAAGATGCGTCAATCACGCAACCGCACGGGAAATTTTTACCACACCTGAACCATTTTATATATATATATATATATATATATATATATATATATATATATATATATAGGGGCGTTCACCTATGCGAATAGACTCACAAGAGAGAAATTATATATATATATATATATATATATATATATATATATATATATATATATATATATATATATATATATATATATATATATATATATATATATATATAGGCGCTCTCCTGTGCGAATAGGCTCCCAGGAGAGAAATAAGAATGCATGTCAGCCATCCACGTGTTCAGATCAACGAATCAGATGTAATTTTTAAAAAACGTTGTGGCGGCATTTTCGTAATAATTCGAACTTTGGTGCATGTAAATGTGTTATAAGTGCAAGTAGTTGGTGCACCTTTTAAGTAAAAAGTGCAGGTAAATTCAATTACAAGTGCACATAGTTTCACCTATAAGTGCAAGTAATTTTACCTTGTTAACCTTCGTACACCTAGGTGCAACTACTTATGATTATAGATGCACCTAGTTATAACGTCAGGTGCACTTAGTATTGATACTCAGTGCAAATTTTACTTGCACATATAATACATTTTACATGCACTTGTAATACATTTTACTTGCACTTACAAGTACACCTACTTTCATCTACAAGTGCATGTAATTTTGCCTTGTTAACATTCATTGATCGGGTGCACCTACTTTCACCTACAAGTGCATGTAATTTTGTCTTGTTAACATTCATTGATCGGATGCACCTACTTTCACCTACAAGTGCACCTAGTTATAACTATAGGTGCACCAACATCTGGACACGTGACGCACGCTGAATTATTCGCACTTCGTTCCTGGGCGCACCATTCGCACCAGAACGCGATTATATATATATATATATATATATATATATATATATATATATATATATATATATATATATATATATATATATATATATATATATATATATATATATATATATATATATATATAAAACAAAAGTGATTATAAAATTTTTTCCGCCCAAACTCAAGGACAATTTAGTAATATCAACATCATTGGACAAAAGTGTCATTAGGATTAGTATTTAAAGACCTTAAATAAATTATTATACTTTCCTTTTGAAAAATCATATTTACAAATTTACAAATTCTCACATTTTTCACAGATAAATACAATGGATTGGTGACTAAAGAAATCATAGTTCTTCATTTTCCTCTTCTTCATTTTTCGTTCATTTTCCTCTTCTTCATTTTTCGTTCACTTTCCTCTTCTTTATCATAATTTCATTCGTTTATTTGGGTGATCCCAATCATAATTCTTCAATTTCCGTTTTCAAAAAAAAAATAAAAAAACTTCATTTTCCATTTTTCTCTTATTCGATATGTGTTCTCATTCATTTTTTTGGGTGATCTCAATCATAATTCTTCATTTTCATCCTTTTCATTTTCCTCTTCATCAATCTGTATGTTCTTTTGCCTTCAATTCTTTATCATGATTTCATTCACTTTTTTGGGTGATCGAATGATAAAGTGAAAATTGAAGATAAATTTATTTTGGGATTTAATAGATCTAGAGTTTTCATGATTTTTTTTTTTTTTTTTTTTTTTTTTTGTGGGGCTGAGGATTTAAGTGGTTAATGCTTTGTGTTTTGCAGCGAGTTGAAGAGATCTGTGATGGGGGATGTCGCATATGAGAATGGGTGCAAGTGCGGGGAGAACTGCACATGCAACCCTTGCAATTGCTAGTGATGCGAAATCCAGTGCAAGAAAGCATAAAGCAGAGACGTGTCTAGGTTTAATTTACGTTGAAAAATAATCTTAAAATTATTTCAAAGACTTTCTTGTGTACGTAGTTCGTGCGGTGAAAGATTAAGGATTAGTTATGTGGTTTGGTCGGTCTACATAATCTACTTTGTAATAAGACAAGTGGATCGTAGTATGTATGTAGTGGTATCATCTCTACTTTGTAACAACTTAATGGGAAAACTCCTTTGTTATCCTATTGTAAAATTTTCTTTTATTTATGGAGATGGTTCTCAGCCGAACAAACTGAATATTTGTTTCAATCTAAACAGTTTTCAAAAAAAAAAAAAAAATATATATATATATATACACACACACACACACACACACACATAAACTAAGGTATAATATTATTATAATTAAAGAATAATTCTATGTACTACCGAGCCAAAATTAATGTACCAAAATAATAATTATTCATTAATATAATTTTCTGATATTAAGGTATAATATTATTATAATTAATAAATTAATTCTATATATTAACTAGCCGAAATTAATGTATCAAAATAATAATTATTTATTAACATAATTGCCTAATATAATTGTGTTACTTATAATTTTCTTTTGAAAATCATACAAATTTACACTACTCGAAAAGGGTTGAAAATATTGGTTTGTGACAATGAAAGCAACAAAACAACTTCAACATTAAACATTGTATACAAGAAAGTTTTTCAAAATTTGTAAAAATCTAACCTTATTATATTATCATATTTTAATATTATAGTTTTTATTAATTTTTTTTTTTTAGTTTCTAACACAAATTTACAAGAATAGTAATAAAATTCCTCATGTTTTTATTACATGTATTTTTAATTCCAGACAACTCTGCTTAATTTTTTCCTTTTGAAACATTTTTATTTTACAATAAAAAATTACCTAAATCATATATGGGAAAAAACATATCTAAATAATGTGATTTAGTTCTATTTTTTTTCACAGCTTATTTTTAAAAAAAATTATTATTTTTGAAGATAATTATTTTTCCTTTTTCCTATATTTATTTTAGTAATAATATAATTGCCTAACTCATGCTACAATATTGAATTTTCCAAGATAATGACCGATAACCAAGTCATATATTATTCAATTAATTGGTAATACTTTTGTACTAATCTTATAATCCGATAAATGTAAACTTTCAAACATTAGAATTATTTATAATTTAGTCTTTAATTTTATTATCTAAATATATAATAATTTTTTTTTTATCTGTGGATCACAGACGTAATTTACTAGTTGAAATAAAAATAATAATACAATCGAAAAAATATGTTATTTATCTTATACTAACTTTTTGTATCAATTATTGTATCAAATGTGGTGATTTTGGTGACTGGTACACAAATTTCAATCATTATACCGTGGAAATGGTCTACATTCCAAAGTGTAGCATTATTGATATAAAAGTTCATTTTTAGTATATTGATAATTCATTTTTATTGTATTGTAACATCATTTTTAATAAATTAACTAAAAATGAACCTTATAATACATTACAAATGAATTTCTAATATATTAAAAATTAATATTTATGAGTGATCCACCTTCTAACATGAATGATGGTACTGATACTGCTAATTCTACGTAAGCAATATAAAATAACACGAGACCAATTAAAGCAAGTAAAATCTTTATTGATCCCGGTAAAGGCCCTAAGTACAATCTACTTGGCTGGTCTGAGTACCGACTGACTGCGGTCGGGATTCTCTAACAACAACCTATTGATCGTCCAAAAGTCCTTTACACTGTAGCCACTGTGGGTATTTATAGCCGCTATGCCGGGGACAGGATTCCAGCCGTTCGGCATGCCCTCCACATAGCCACCACGTGTCATCCTCCCGGGTGCCCTGGCTGTTGATGTAAAGAGCCGCCACGCGTCCTCTCGCGCCCTTGTGCCAGCTCTTTCGTCGAAGGGCTACCGCTCGGTGGTTGACATCAGCGCTCGGGCAATTCCCGGCCATTCCCGACCGGGGTCTTCATAGAAAAAGCCCGACCTGCCACCTGCAAAGATCATAAGAGAAAGACAAAGGCAAGTCGGTCGTGGTGGAGCTTATGCCGGTCGGGATATTCCCTACCAAGAGCCCCCCAGCCCGGGCCTTTTTGATCAGTCGGGAAAAAACGGGACGGGATGAAGAAGCCCAACCGTCAGCCACCAAGCCGACCTGCCAGCTGTCATTCCTTCCTACGCCACGTGTCGGCCTCTGCCGGCCTCGGCGATCCCATCCGTCGCCTCGGATTCAGCGCGGGTCGTGTCAGGCAAGTTGGCCCATTTCCCGCCTAAATGCCCTCCTATAAATAGGCCCTTGAGGCCCTCATTTGAACTTTCCTCACTCTTTTGCTTCAGTCGGTATCCTCTAAGAATCCCGAGCAGAGCATCTCAGCAAGGCGATCAAGCAGAGCAAAACTTCAGATCTTCTTCAAAGTTTCCTCACTCGGTAAGCTCTTAGTTCTTTGCTCTTTGTTTACTCTCCACTTAGCGTAGAAGTAGGATAGCACTAACTTCGAGCTAACTTCCCGAACCCTGTACTAACTCCCGACCGACCTTTAGGTAGAACTATGTCGGACTCGGATAGCCAAAACGCATCGATCGCGGATTACGACGAGGAGGTCGAGCACCTCAGCGACGAGGAGGTGGACATCATGTCCTACTCCCCCGAAGCTATCAGCCGACCGGGTCCTTCTCCCGAGCGGGCCGCCGCACAAGACACGTCGTCCAGCTCATCCGGGTCGTCGAGCTCCAGCTCAAGCGGATCGGGGAGCTCCGACGAGGAAGAAGAAGGAACCACGTCGGGGAGACAAGGATCCCCGACCGAAGGCGTTAGGGAAACGCCCACTCGGGTGGTTGGGGACCACCCGAGTCCGGCCCCCGAGCCGACTGAAGAGGACACGGCCGGGCCAGCCGCCCCAGCCGTCGCGGAGTTCGAGTTCTTGAACAGCGAGAACGTCGAACAGCAAATGAGCCTGCTTACCAAGGGCGAGGCGGCTAGGATCGCCGAAAGGCTTGTGGGTCGGGTAGAATTTGACACGAGCCGGCAGCTGGGGAACGTCATCGATCGGCATCGGGGCAAATGGATCGGGATGCACTACGACTCCCTGATGGCCCCGATCGCCATTCCCTTCACCCCCCTCCTGAACGCCTTCTTGGCCTATTACCGGGTCGTCCCGGCCCAGATCTGCCCTAACGCCCACCGGATCCTCGCCTGCTTCCCACAGATATGCGCTCGGCACGAGGCCGAGTGCACGATGGAGTTGTTTAACTTCATCTACCAGGTCAAAGTCCTCCCGGGCAACTATGGAGGCGGGTTCCTGATGTTGCAGTCCCGGGCCGATATGTGCGCGATCAAAGGACTGCCCGGGAACAACAGGGGGTGGAAGAACAGGATCTTCTCCCTCAAATACGACCCTTGGATCCTCCCGGTTGATCGCGCTTGGAGCACCCACTTTCGGAAACAAGTGGTGCCGGTCGAGACGCAAGCGCTGAGGGACACGGTCAGCCGGATTTCGAGCGAGGTGCATGAATACACAATCTTCCGGACGGCCGAAAGTCTCGAGGCGGCTCAATTCCCGCCCCCCACATACGAGCTGCCGGAGAAGTACCTGCCCGTGCCGATGGGCGTGACGGTCGCCAAGCCGTCGAAACGGAAGAAGAAAGGTTTAGCTCGAGCTGTTCCTCCCGACCTAGCTTCGTTTCTTGATCTAACTAACTTAACTCTTTTATTGCAGCCATGGCAGAATTCGGCGATGAAGACACCGCCCTTCCCCCGCCCACGAAGATCTCCCTCGGCGGGAAGAAGAAGGCCAAGACCAAGGCAGCCGGGGAAAAGGAGATTCCCACTGCCCGACCCCTGAGTGCCTCGACCGTGTCGACGGGCGAGGGCTTCATCGTCGAGCAGCCTGACGTCTTGGTCACCCGGGTGGAGGTCGCCCGGGGCAAGGAGAAGGTCGCCGGCCAGGGCGCGACCGAGGTGGGCAGCCTGAAGCGCCGCCGTGAGCAGCACAGCCCGAGCCCTTCGGTCGGGCGAGAGAGGGAGTGTACGTCCGTGCTGGCACGGATCGGCAACGCCGCGCCAGCCCGAGCGGATCTGGGGAAGATGACCCCGACCCAGGTGGCTGAACAGATCGGCCACGACCTGGCTGAGGTGAGTTTCCCAACTTATAATCTTTCTTTGCCCAAGTGTTTTCGATCGGGCTAACCGAACGTCTCTTGTTTTGCAGATTTCCCGGGCCGCCCAGCTCCTACAAGGTCGAGCCATGCTGGCCGAGGAAGCTGATCACCACAAGAAGACGGCCGCCCGTCGCTTGAAGGAGATCAAGGACCTCCAAGCCGAGCTGGAGAAGACCCAGAAGGCCCTGAAGAAGGGCGACGAGGAGCGGGTTCTTGCCGAGAAGGTCGCCAGCCGGGCGATCGGCGAGGCCAGGGAGCTGAAGGCTCAGCTCGAGAATCCGAGCGAGCTGGCGCGGGTAGCCTTCAAAGACAAGGACTTGGGCTCGGCCTTCCTCACTGCAGCCCGGGGAACAGAGATCGAGGAAGAGCTGATCGTCTCGTTCGGTCGCTGGGGCTTCACGGCCGGGAAGCGGAAGATGCTCGAACGAGTCCGTTCTCGGTTGGAACAGGCCCTGGACGGGGAAGACCTTCAGCTGGTCCTCTCGGCCTTACCCCCAGACCTAGCCGATCCCGGTCCTTCTCCGTTCGCCCCAAAAGCCAAGGCGGCCGAGCCTGGAGCGTTGTCGGCGGCCCCTCCAAGCGGGAAGGAAGCGGCTGCTGGAGCCCGGGAGGCAAAGAAATAGGATAGGCTGCCTCCACTTTTTTGTAAGAAACACCGATCGGGAACCCGGTCCCGAATTGTACCGGGCACCTTCTTGTCAATTAATAAAATTTATTTTTTTGTTCAATCTTGCGTCGCTCGTTCTTTCTTTTCGCACTTTTATCTTTAATCGCGTAAGTGCTGATCCTCAATGCTCGACCTCGCGGCCTTGTGGCCCGATCTTGCACTGGTTCGACCCACTCGACGCCCGACCTCACGACCTTATGGCCTGGTCGTGCGTTTGATATTACGACGTCAAATCTGGCCAACCGATCGGGAGTACCCGATCCCCGGGCCTTTGTCGAAAAATTTTTGGAAATAAGCCTCTACGGTCGGAGTGTAACCGAGCGACGGGCCTGCAAATACTTCCTTATCCCAGCCCCCACACTATTGTGCGCTCGAGGCACGAGTGGGTGCAATAGTGGACAGAAGTTGGACAGATCGGGGAATAATGCTGAGAGCTCCTGGCTTCCCCGATCAGTGGCATGACTTGGGTGTCCGCCAATGTGGAGCGCGTTTTGACCGGTCGATAGATTTCGCCCGGTTGATGAATGTCGAACTGATCTGCATGTAACGAGGGTGAAAGAAAATAACCGATCGGGCCGCCGCATACAAACGGTCGAGCAATCATCGATCGTATATACATTAAACTTTCCCGCTCGCAGGCGGTTGAATTAATTTTACAACCGTAAATTTACATAGAAATGACGACCGGGACTAACTCGCAGGTCAAGCCCCCACTTCGTCTAAAAATACAAAAAATAGGCTAATGCCTAAAAAGAACGAGGTGCTCGGAATTCCAAGTCCCCTCGATTAGCCGACCAGTCGTTGTCTCTAGTCGGTATGTACCCGGCCGTATGACAGCGTTGATGATGTACGGCCCTTCCCAGTTCTGAGCTAGCTTTCCGCCCTCTAACGGCTGACTGGCCTCCCTTCGTCGTAGAACGTAATCTCCGACTTGAAAATAGCGAGGGTTGACCCGAACGTCTTTTGAACTCTTGACACGTTTCTGGTACTCGGCCATACGCCGAGCGGCTAGCTCTCGTTTTTCCTCGACCCCATCAAGGTCCACGGCCATCGCGTGTTCGTTCTCTTCCGCGTTATAGGTTCTCTCTCGATCGGTCGGAATCCAGGCCTCGATCGGAAGTCGGGCCTCGGCTCCGTAAACCAGGGCGAACGGGGTCTCCAAAGTAGCTTCCCTCGGGGTCGTCCGATAAGTCCACAAAACATATGGCAACTCATCGGCCCAACTACGACCGGCCGAGTGTAACTTCTTTTTCAGACCTTCCAATATCGTCCGGTTAGCATTCTCCACTTGTCCATTTCCCTGGGGGTAAGCGACCGACGACCGGACGTGAGTCGTCCCGATCGTGGCCAAGAAATTCTGGTAGTACTGGCTCACAAACTGGCGACCGTTGTCGCTAATGAGATGCACGGGCACGCCAAAACGGGAAATGACATTGCGCCAAAGGAAGCGAGCACATTGCTGAGATGTGATCGTGGCTAAAGGCTCGGCTTCTATCCACTTGGAGAAGTAATCTATGGCGACGATCACGAACTTTCTCCGACCGGAGAGTTGAGGAAAGGGGCCCAAGATGTCTACCCCCCACCTTGCGAAAGGAATTGCGGTCGTGACTGGCTGGTAGAACGTTGCCGGTCGTCCAGGCATCCGGGCGTACAGTTGGCACGTCTTACATTCCCGAGCTAACTTTTCACAGTCTAGCTGGAGGGACGGCCAGTAGTACCCGATCAACATGATACGACGGGCCAGGGATCGACCTCCTTGATGTGAAGAGCAAATTCCCGAGTGTAGCTCCTTCATGACCAACTCAGCCTCAAATGCGGTCAAGCAACGCATGAGGGGGCCTCCATACGATCGCCTGTACAGACGACCGTCCAAGACTTGGAACCTTGGGGCTCTTAGCTTGGCCTTTCGAGCACGCTGCGGGTCGTCGGGGAGGCGATCGTGCTCGAGATACTCCTTCAGATCGGTGATCCAATTGTCATCTACCGGTTGGATGGGATTGACCGGTAGACGGTGAATACTGTGTCTTGGGATCACCAAGATCCGAGCTATCTTCGAAATGTGCTCCGGGGCGTCTTGGGCCAGTTTAGATAAGATATCCGCATCGGCGTTATCCAACCGGGGTATGTGTCGGACGGTATACCCCCGGAACTGAGCGAGCTTTTCCATGGCAAGGTCTCGATACAACTGCAAACGCTCACCATTGACTTCATAGTCCCCGAGGACTTGCCCGACCACGAGCGCGGAATCTGTCTGAGCTCGAATGTATTTAGCCCCCAAGTCCCGAGCGCATTGCAAGCCACTAACGAATGCTTCGTACTCGGCTTCGTTGTTGGTCGGGTGGAACTGGTACATAAGAGCAAAGTAGATCTTGAATCCTTCCGGGCTCGTGACCACCACTCCTCCTCCTGCCCCTTTTTTGCTACTCGACCCATCTGTAGCCAGCGACCACCACTCAGCCTCGGGATCCGCAACCTCAGGAGGCCGGGTATCCCGGGCGGTGCACTCAACCAAGAAATTCGCAAGAGCTTGACCTTTAATAGCCGGTCTTGGTCGGTATTCGATCGCGTACTGGGTCAACATTAGCGCCCATTTGACTAGGCGACCCGATGATGAAGCGGTTCGGAGGACTGGCCCGATCGGCTGATCGGTCAACACGCGAATTGCTCGACCTTGGAAATAGGGAGCCAACTTCTTTGCAGCAATGTATAAGGCATAGACGACCTTCTCTAGCCGGGAGTACCGGAGCTCGGGACCATGCAGCGCGTGGCTTACATAGTACACCGGTCGCTGGACACCTTCCGGATCGGTTCGGCACAACACTGCGCTTACTGCACGATCGGACACGGCGAGGTACACGTCTAGCTCTTCTCCGAGCTCGGGCTTTGAGAGTACGATCGGTGACATGAGATATTCCTTCAGCTCGTCAAAAGCCGCTCGGCATTCTTCGTCCCAGACGAATCCATTAACCTTCCGCAATACCTTGAAGAAAGGTAAAGCGCGCTCGGCTAGCTTGGAGAGGAACCGGCTGAGGGCTGCCAACCGACCGGTCAATTGCTGGACTTCCCGAACGGTGGAAGGTGGCTGCATGTCCAGAATCGCTTTTACTTTGGTCGGGTTAGGCTCGATCCCTCTCTTGGTCATCATATAGCCGAGGAACTTGCCGGTCTGAACCGCGAATGTACACTTGGTCGGGTTCAGCCGCAACTGGTACTTCCTCATGACCTGGAAGCACTCCCGAAGGTCCCGAGTGTGGTCGGATCGGTCCCGACTCTTGACCAACATATCGTCGATGTAAGCTTCCATCGTTCGGCCCAGCAGATCAGCAAAGAGCATGTTGACCATCCTTTGGTAGGTCGCTCCTGCGTTTCGGAGGCCGAACGGCATCACTCGGTAACAATACAGCCCATCCGGGGTCACGAAGGCTGTCTTGCTCTCATCTTCATGGTGCATCATGATCTGATGATATCCCTTAAAGGCATCCATGAAGCTCATTAACTCGGCCCCAGCCGTCTCGTCGACCATCTGATGAATGCTCGGTAGAGGATACGGGTCGAGCGGACAGGCTTTGTTGAGGTCGGTAAAGTCGATGCACATCCTCCATGCTGGGGGCTTAGGAACAAGAACAATATTGGCCACCCACTCAGGATAGACCACCGGACGGATGTGCTCGATCGCCGCCATCTTTTTGACTTCTTCTCTTACAAACTCGCGGCGATCGGAGGAGAGGTGTCGTGTCTTTTGCACGACCGGCTTAGCTGCGGGATCGACGGCCAATTTGTGACAAATGATCGATCGATCGATCCCGGGCATGTCTTCAGGCCCCCATGCAAAAATATCGGCGTACTCCCGGAGCACGGCCAGAACTTCCGCTCGGAGCTCGAGAGTGAGGGCTCGTCCAATCTTTATCTTTCTATCCGGGCGGTCCTCGGACAGGGGAACTTCTTCAATTTCCTCGGAAGGCTCAGGCTGCTCCTTCCGTTCGTTAGCCTCCTCTTTGGCTATGGTGTTCACTCGGGAAGACGGACCGGAGTCACGTCGATTAACCGCTCGGGTGTAACACTTCCGGGCGGATTGGACATCGCCACGGACCACGCCGACCCCGTTTGGGGTGGGGAATTTCATGCATAGGTGAGGCATAGAAATTATCCCACCGATCTTCATAATGGCGGGTCGGCCCAAGATAATGTTGTGGACGCAATGGAGGTTGACCACAACAAATTCCAGCTCCGTTTGGATCGACTTTGGAGGCGTGCCGATCTCGACCGGGAGCGTTATTTTTCCCTCGGGGTAAATAAGAGCCCCGGTAAATCCCGACAGTGGTACACCGACCGGAGTCAGCTCCTTCCTGTCAAGGCCAAGCTTCTCAAACACGTCCAAGTATAGGACGTTCACACTGCTGCCCGTGTCAACCATAACCCTTTGGACGTCCGTCCCCTTAACGTCGATCGTGACCACGAGCGCCTCCATGCCGTGGTCGCTGCTGCTAGGTTGGTCCTCAAGGGTGAAGGTTATGGGCTCCATCTTCTGCCTCTTCCCGGTCTCCCGGGAATCCACTATTGCGACCGGGCAATTAGTCCGCGGTCGGGAAGCATCTTCCAGCCCACCAAAAATGACATGGATGGTAGGCTTTCCGGACGGGCGGCTACCGGACGGAGGGTCGGGATCCCGTTGGTCATCATGACGACCATCCCTTCTGTCTTGCCCAGATCGATCAGAGCGGTGATGAGAGCGTCTATGACCCCTCCGATCGGCGCTCTTGCTTTCCTCTCTCTTCCCCACACACTTGTCCAATTTTCCCAAATTGAGCAAATCTTCCAATAATTGGCGCAAGTGGGTACACTCCTCGGTGTCATGCCCGGCGCATCGATGGTAAGCACAGTGCTTACTCTTGTCGGGGCCGTCTCGATCGGGATGGGGGAGTTTGATGAGATTGCAGGACTGAGCGTACTGCATGG